AATAAGCGTAGTAACAAACGCATTATGCAAAGACCTTTGCTTTGCGTGTCTCAGTAACAACACCGCCTTCGTGAATTATGCGTTTCTCTCGAATAGAAGTGCCTTCAATACCAACGAGAAAGTTTCATCGCCATATGGTCCTGCGTTTGTCTCATTTTCTCGTCACCGAAATCTACTATCCGGTTGTATTTCACCTGTGTGTGATGTCTGTAAATAAATAATTCCGAAGCCAAATAAAAGAACGGACACAATTTGTTCAAATATGAGATGTTTGGCCGAACGCCAACATCTGGTATTCAGATGTTGTTGGCTAAAGAGTCATTTGCGGCGGTAGTTTCGTCTTCCTTCGTGTATTTGCATACGAGTATGAGCTGCGATTATATCCGTTCTAACCGATCTATTTGCGACCATGTACAGTTATACTGACTATTGGTAATAATTATTCAGAACTAAACTTGGTTTTGAATTGAAAAAAAAAATCATTCACAACAATTACTGTAAATAAGTTAACAAGGAAACGACACAAGCAAGGAAAATCTCAGTCTTTTTTTTCCTAATTTTATTGAAGTTTTGCATGATTTTTTTTTAAATTTTTCAATTATACTAATTTTCATATGCCTATAATGTTTTAAAGGGTTTGTTTTGAATATTAACTCAGTCATCATGGAAAGTATCATCAAAATCCAAGAAGAGTAAACCTGAGATTCGTCTTGTAAGTTAATCACAAATAACGAGTTCTTTTTTGTTTCGTACCAATCTGTATATTACAGCAAATTTTGAATAATTTTATTATATTCTATGATCTAAATTAATTAAATAATAAATAAATAAAAAAATAAATTAATCTAACAATAAACAAATATCTGGTACAATATTGAACAAGCTTCATTGTGGCCTGACTGTTTTGAAGTAGGTGTATATTAGACTAAATTACAAAGAATGAATTATTCAAACAATAATACACACTAATATATTGTCATTATTACTGACAAAATATTATAAATTTATTGACTGTTTTTTTTACTATTGGCGTCAAACACGTTGAATCTTTTAAATATTGTATTCAATAACTTTCTACAATTATAATTAAAGTTCATTATTACTCTCTGATAATATCATCTAATTATTATAATGGGTTATTCACTTAACTTTAGTGACATTCAAATTGAGATCATATTTTACACTTTTATAATCTTGATTTGTACAATGAATAACACTGTCAACGTCAATCAATGTCAAGCTCGATTCTGGATAGATATTTTTTCATAACGCCTACATCAAATTATAGAAGCATATCCTGTTGGTAAATAGTTCGGACTGGAAAATATACAGTAATGAAAAATATATGGTGTCATATATATATGTAGATATATAAATATGTACGTTGTTAGTAAAAAAATGTGACATTCGTGTGACTTGTAGAGTTTGTTCTATGAAAATGACAAGTATTTAGTTTACTTGTGAATATAATTCAATTAGCGTATACTACCTACCTATTCCATAAAAGTAGTGATATGATCCATTTAAAAAATATTAGAATTTAAATGTAGAGCTTAAATACAGAATATTGTTAGAGAAAAGTGTATTTAAGACTGTACTATTATTTTGGATAAACTTCAGACTGGTAGTCTCGTATTGTTCTCTAATACAGAATTTCATAAAGATTAGAATATATATTTAAATATGATTTTCTCTATAATTACAACTTCATAGCATGTTGTTTAACATCAATTAGGTTGATAATAATATACAACCGATTGATTAGAAGTGAAAGGCAATCAATTTCTTATTTTGAATTCAACCTCTGATTATATCGCGATACCAATTAATGATTTTTTCAGAAATATACAGCATGCTTAAATTGCCCGCAATAAATTTGATTTATTAACAAGGAAACCACCATATTCTTTATCTTTTGCAGTTTTAATTATATTTTATTATTCATGAATCGTTAATCTATCTGTTTATTACTTTGGGCTGATTAGTTTTAGTATCAGCATCGCTAATAATGTCAGAAGACGCCAATTTGGAAAGACAAAAGGTTAAATTGAAGTGTCAGTCGAACAAGACCAAGTCGTGATGTTCACCCACTCCTGCAGTTACGTTGGCCGGGTCAAAATAAATAAAACGAAAATTTATTGTTTGAATTATTTTATAGAACATCAATAAAAGCTATCTCGTTAAAAAAGAAATCCCACGACTTTATAGCGATGTCGGCGAATTAAATTTTGGTTATAAAAGTGTGCATTGATTCGGAATTTATGTACCGTGCATAACTTGATTGCAATCAATATCAGTAAGATTCCGTGTCGTTCGTTACTTTTGCACTTGAAATGTGCACATAAAAAAGCTGTCGACAGTCATTAGAGAATATGGCATACTTACTTCGAATTGCTTAAACCATTTGGATAATCGACGTGGCCTTTAAAAAATATGGGTTTTTTATTGGGAGAATTATAAATTCAGCTTAATATAAATCATTGAGAATTAATGATAAAGAATCAGAATTGAATATGATTATTTCCCTATAATAAAAAATCTTTAATGATACTTTGGATTTACTGATGAGGTAGAGTTTTGAAAACTTTTTACCCATAACAAAAAACTGTGACATAAATTAAGTAAATATTATTTTAAATTATACATTACATTAATAACAATTGATAATTTCTATTAATATTATATAGTTTGTATATTCATACCTATAGAAACTATCCTATAGAAAACAAAATATACGCAGAGTTGGGCAGATACAAAGGTCCAAATTGACTTTGAGCAATTATACTGTAAAACCAAACCAACTACATAAAAAAAACATATATCAAACAAACAAAAATTTGATTTATTTTTGCTAGGTGGGGTTGTCGAGGTTCAGTGATAATTATTTGAACTTGCATCTATAGTGCTCCAAGTTCTATACCCACCTTAGCTAGTCTAATATTAAGCTGTAATGATATCTCTGTTGAAAATATAGATCTAAATATGTTTACAAGTCAAATAACCTTTTCTAGCCTGCTGCATAAAATTAAAATTATGTCGCCAGTTTTAGCAGAATTGAGGTAATAAAAATATATCAAATATAGTGGTGAATTGTTTTGTTGACTTCGAAAAAAGACGTTGCTAATAGAATTCTAAATGTTCTTTTGTGATATCGAAATAAGCGAAAAATGTTTTGATTTATGTTTACTACATGGGGTTGTTGACAGTGGTGTTGTCGAGCCGGAATGCGCCGGAACGTCGTTCCGGCAAATCATTTTTGGGGCGGAACGCGTTCCGGCAAGAAAAAATATAAAAACATCGCTACATACAGAAAATGATTTAATAAGTAAATTTTATACGTTATTATTCAACTAATTTTTATTAAATGTTATTATTGTAATAAACTATTGTAAATTTTAGCGTTCCGGCAAAAAAATATTAGCACAAAACCACTGGTTTTATCAAAGTCGTTTTTAATTTAGTAACAAATTGAGGTGTATGAACTTCTTATAGAAAAAATAATATTTATAAATTAAATCTTACATTCATTCGCATTTCTTATACGCTAACATCTACATCATAGGTTCCTATTCATGTATTTTTATAGCCTTACGTGTGCCTATACGTTGCATTCTATACTACACGCCTTACATCTATACCATACGCTATATTTCATTATATACTCTCAAATCCCTACATTGTATACCGAATACACCTAACCTATATCTACTATATATCCTATTACCTATAATTTCCCTTACACGCTACATTAACCCTACCGAGAATCGAACCCGGGTCCGCCGCGTGGCACGCGACGGCCTTAACCACTACACCACTGTAACCCTA